ATAATTTATATAATGTGTACTTATTATACATAATAAATAAAGTTATTTGAATATTGTACATTATTTTGTAAAATTATAATTTACTTATTATACATGTTATTTGAGTATTGTGTAAAATTATGATTTATAACCCTTTGAAATATTCCATATATAAACCTTCGAAGTATTACGTTATATAGTATTACATTACATAGACCTTTGAAGTATTACGTTACATAAACTTTCGAAGTATTACGTTATATAGACCTTTGAAATATAAACCTCTGAAGTATTACATTACATAGACCTTTGAAGTATTACGTTACGTAGAACTCTGTGGGTCTCGTAGGTTTACGAAAATTTACACAACGTAAATTTTCAAAGTACTCTATTATATTTAAATTCGCGATATAGATAGTAATATAAATCTATCTGATCATAAGAGAGTAGTATGCCAGATAGAAAGCTTACATCATATTATCAATAATTGTAAATGTAATAAAAAATGTAAATGCCTTCCAATCCAATATGATTTATGGCTTGATGAAATAGTATCTATAATTGCTCAAGTACAAAGTCATCTGGCGGGTCAATTGATAGAAAGTTATATAAATTAATCCAAAAGGCAAGACATATTATTATTATGGATCATGATCTAACTGATCTAAATATCGAATTGATTAAGGCCTTTTGTAAGGATAAACTATTCTCTATTATCTACAATACTTACCAATCTCAAAAAGGTAAGACATGCTACTTGGCTTCTAATAAAGAGACAGTATTAACTGAACTTTGGGATTGGGCTAAACAGATGTCTTCATTACCTTTTGAGAATTATAAAAATGCATCACTTATTTGCTATCTTAGAAAAGATCTATAGGAAATAGTTCATGTTCTTAAGACTGATTTTTCAAAACTAAGGATCAAAGAATATCACGGTAAATCTGATTTAATGGAAAAAGCTCAAGATTTCAGCAACATAGAAGAATCATAGAAAATCAATGACCTAGTTGCTTATACCAGCACGTTAAAAATAGGAGTATCTTGCATTAATCCTAAGTTTGAACAAGCATTTTGTATCTTTAATAGTTATATAGAAATGAATGCTAGGACGAATCAGATGTTATTCTGCATATGATGCATTAAGGATTATGTATGCTATAATGAACAAAGATTATCTAATGTTCCTATTATAGAAAAAGGATTATTTCAATAGTTACTGAATGCTAAACGTGAATGCCTTCCCTGTGAACTTCAGAATAGAGGGATTTTTCCAGATGTAGATTCTATTATTTGAAATAAAGATGTGCTAACTATTCAATTATGGGTAGCATATAAGTTGGAAAATTTCCATTCCTAATGCTTATTTAGTTAGAGGATAGTTAATTTCTCTGAAAGGTAATTTCTGTTATAGAATTTATTCCTAAACCTAAAGATACTACGATATTGCTATCTCAAACAGTGAAAACGAGTTCTTCTATTGTTAAAGTAGAGGAGATATCGAATATATCTAATGCGTCTATTGTCCACTATGAGACTGCTGAATTATTAGAGAATAAGCCAAAGAAGACTTTAGAAGAGATACACTCTTTAGACTAGCATCATATTGTGAATTGTTATGGGATTCTACCTGAATTATTAACCGAAAAATTTATCTCAAAGAATGGGAATTTCAATTACATGAAATAGTTTAGAGCTTATGAGATGCTAGTATTAGTAATGAAACAGCAGTTGAGGCTATTTTCCATAAAGATTATAGAGAAGATAGACTTATAACTGCAACTCAAGCTGAGAGGCATCAAATTTCTTTACAGAAAGTTACGATTTTATTAAATATGTTAAAAATATTATTAATATATATTAGTAATATATTTAATATATAAATAGATTATTTAGTTGATTTAATATGACTATAATATTATTAAAATATATTTATAATATTGTTAACATATACTAAATTCTATATTGACTTATAAATATTAATTAAAATCTTATTATAATATTATATATTATTATAATATATTTATAATCTTACTATCAGGTTGTTATAATATTTGTTTTTATATATAATTTTAAAAATATTATTATTAAAATATATTTATAATAGGGTGACACAGAAAACTGAATGCATGTGATACAGAAATGTTTCTATTATGTCACAGTATTGTTATGTAAAATGATTAGTATATTATTATGGTAGGGTCTTCAGTTTCGTGACTCATAATACAATCGTAGCATGTAACATGAAAAGTTTTCATAATATAAAAACTTAAATTTAATTGGTTAAAACATTATACTTATAAAAATATGGATGAGTCTAATTGTAACAACCCATTACATATAATATATGTAACTATCTCGAAAAATAGAATTGGATTTGACCAAAATTATGGCATAATGCTGACCAGTTTTTCAAATAAAATAATCTGTAATAAAATGGTTATTAGCATATGACATGTATTATTTTTTTATGATGTATTTTTATAATGCTGATGTGAATTAAAGATAATTTGTTTATTTAAAAAATCAAAAACATTTTTCCTACAATTCTTTATTAAAAGAATTAATATTCAACTGCAGCTATGATATATTATCCACATAATCCGTAAAAAATTAGCAAATCTATCTTAGCCAATCAGATATCTTTTGCCCACTATGCTTTTTTTAACTCTAAAAGTCTGCCCTAACAAAAAAGATGAAAAAACAACCAATTTTCCCACCCAGCCATTCTACATATCCAATTATCCCACCCTCATTTTCGTCCAAATTCGCTAAGAAATTTAGAAATATATTCAGGATTTCGATTTCATATTATAACCTAAAATATTAAAAATTGATTAGATAAAAAAATACAATGAACAAATGAATAAAAAGAATGAATACTTACTGATTCTGACACCTTTGCACTATTATGTCCTGATTGATCGCATAAACCACAAGTGTATTTTGCACGTGATTCTTTTCAGTTGACAATTTGTATCATTTTGCACGTGGTTTCTTTTTAGTTGATGATTTGTATCATTTTGTTTTGGGACGTCCTTTACATCATGATACTAATGGATTTTCAATTAGTTCAGATTCATTTTCTTTGTTAGTATCATCTCGATTTCGCATTAATCCAGTATATGTAATTATCATTTCTTTGTGTCGATTAATAAACTGTCTTAGCCATTCAATAATCTCACCATGACTGTTATATTTAACAGTATATTGAGTTGCCTGCCGCGCAAGTCCCCACACTTTCCCATATTTGGCCTTCTATTTGCCGCGTAATATAAAACAGTAGTAACTGTTGTAGAAACAGTTGAAGGATTTGAAGTAAATATCATGCCCGAAAAATTTTCTATAGCCTCTTGGCTTATAAAGCAATAAGTCTCTGCTGTTGTATTATTGTCTTTTTGATCATCAATATACCATTGCAAAGGTATCATTTGGATTTGAAATCCTGCGACTGTTGAAATCATCATTACTTGAAAATAGTAGTGACAAACAATGCCACAGGATATATTAAACATACAAGAACAAAGATAAGAAATAGGATCAATTACTACCACAAAATATACATATTTTTTATTTTTGGATCGCATATCTGTAATCTTCCATACTTTGCGAATGCTATTTTCACCAACTTCAGCAATTATCGATTTCAATAGAATTTGTTTAGCATAAAGATGGTACAGCAATTGATTTCAAATTTACAAAATGTTGCAACATAAGCTAAAATTAGTTGCAACATATGTTGCAACATTATAAGTTGCAACATATATAGGTTAAAATTAATTGCAACGTAAGTTGCAACATTAAAAGTTGCAACATATTAATTACAGTTTCCATCTTTAGTTTAGCATCATACAGGTCCTCAATAAATCCGTCTGTCATATTAACGCAGCGATTTGTCTTAGGACATATTAATATATTAATATATTAATATGTCCTAAGACAAACCGCTTGTACAAGATTAATGTGTCTTAGGATGTTATAATATGTAAATTAATATGTCTTAGGACATTATAGTCTATTGATTAATATGTCCTAAAGATGGGGGTCTGCTTCCCTCTCTATGACCTGTTGGTTAGTAATTATGAATGAACTGCGTGCCTGTTTGGTTGCCTTTTAAAATACTGAAATAGTGTAAAAAAGAGGTGACAGTGACGCAGTAGATTTGTGATTAATTTTGACTAGCTCTATGGTATAACTTTAGCTGATCTTTTATGCATGTGATTTGGGAATTCAATTTGGTGTTGTGATGGTGTCATGATGACATCCTGGTAGTGTTATGGAACTCTCCTGGAACTGTCATAGAACTGGCAGGGATCTAGAGTTTCTATTAGTTTGCCAGTTTTATGCCAGCTTGGGTATCAAAATATTATATTCAAAGTTCTGGTTGAAATTGTGAAATAGTGTTGGCTGGAATTAAGCGAATTAATACTGCATCTTACTGCACTATAGTCATGTAATACTGTTCTGGTGCTGGAATACTCTCATATAGTTGCTTCCCTCTTAATTATCATTTCTTGATTGCTGGATGAGGCACGAAGTGCTGAATTTGCAATTCATCTATTTGCTAAAAATGTATTGCAATCTATTCACCTATTTTTTGATTGCTGGTAAGACACATGCAAAGTGTTTAGTGTTGTGCCATTCTTGCAATCCCACCTTTTATAGCCTGTTTGATTGCCAAGGATGAAATACAAAGTGTTGAACTTGTAATCTATATTTATTTCTCTCTTAATTGTCAGAGATGTGCCCTATATTTGAAATCCTGTTATATTTGACCTATTTGATTGCCAGGTTGAGGCACGAAGTGCCAAATTTGCAATCCTGCCATTTGTCAAAGATGTATCACAATCTATTTGCCATCTTTTTGATTGCTAGGTGAGGCATACAAAATGCCGATATTGTACTATTCTTACAATCCTGCCTTTTATAACCTATTCAATTGATAAAATTGAGGCACGAAGTGCCGAATTGATTCAGAATTTACATCTTTCATACCCTTTTTTCGTGTATTCTTCTGAGTTTTTCCACCTTTTCGACTTCTTTTCTGCCTATCATCGGTGGGCCACTCGAGCATAATTTCTTTTTCTTTCCTATATATAATTCTGCTTGAGTGGCCCACCAAATCTATACCCTGTTTTACACTCCTGCTTTTCTAGAACTCTTTCTCCTATAGTTGCTACTTCAGGATATTATTATATCGATTGCTTTAGAGTATTATTTAAAATATATTGTATACTCATATTAGTAATTAGATCAGAAGCCAAAATAGCTTTACGCGTTTTTATTTCTTTTCTAAGATATACATTACATTATTTATTTTGAAGATTACAAATTTCTATGTAAATTTATATTGCTTTCTTGCCTATACTACTATGCTATCTGCACCTACGCAAAAAAATTTTGAACCCAACCCTATAGAAATAAATGAAGCAATAAGACTCTTTTCAGGTGTAACAGACCTTGATTTTGAGCCAGACTATATTGATCATGTGTATTTCCAATATTTGTCTAATAGTAAAGATGATATTGCTCTTCTAGATGCCTATCATCCTGAAGAGATTTTTGATAAATATATCATTCAAGTATATGGAAAGGGTTTTACACTAGTTGATCATCCTTCTGAGATTTATGGATTACCCGATTCTCATGAATGCATTGATAGGAATTTGCCTCTTTGCCTGGTTCTGGATATTGATGTGAGGCAGAAGTCCAATCCCACGAATCCTGAACTCCCTTCCTTAAATAGATATAAAATTTTTCATAATGATTTATTATCCAGAATCTTAATTACTTGCGCTGATATCTTATACTCTGATTTAAAACATCTCATAACTTTAAATGATTTTGCTTTAGCTAGTTCGTCTAGTACTGATAAATGCAGTTGGCATATCATATATTTTTCAGCTTATTTTATTGATTATAGAGACCTTAGGGGTTTTGTGAAAAAAGTCGCTGATAGGGTTGGAAAACCATATTCTGAATTTATCGATCTCACACTTTACAAATCACATTTTAGTCTTCGACTTCTTGGATCAGCAAAGGGAGATAGAATCAAAAGACCTGCGATTTCTTCAGTGGCCACGAATCTTTTTTTCTAAGAAGTCAGAAAAAGAGGAGTTCAAACCTATTGAAGATGAAACCACTTTAAGCAATGGAGCTGGTTTAGTAATGGCAAAATATGAATGGCTTGAAATCGGAAAAGCTGAAAAAGGATTTATTACCTTTTATGCCAAATTATTTATAAAATGCACTATTTGCAATATCAAACATGAAAGGAATCAGTTGTATGGCTTTCTTCGAAAAGATGGATGCTTTATACTCAGATGCTATCGACAAAAACAATATAAGCCAGACCATAAAGGTTTGGTATTTGGAGAAGTGTCTAAAATTCTGATAATACCTAAGTGAGGAATAACTGAAAGAATAGCTAATACCAGAGCAAAACCGCATCCTCTTGTAGAGTTGCCAGGGGAAGTTATTAATGTTAAAAAGCTGAAAGATGCTCCTGGATTTCTTAAGTACTAAAAGAACAACTACATTAATTCGCTCATCCCCAGCAACATGGAAAACCACTACATTAAAAGAAATCATTATGGCATTAAAGAGTAAGGTGCATGATATCTCTTCTATGCCATGTTATATCTGGATCTCTTACCAAAAATCTCTTAGTAACGAGTCAAAAGCAAAACTTGATGAGTTAAAAGCGTTTGGCTTCCGAATTTGCAACTACCAAAATAGGCTAAGAGACTTATCTATAAATGAGTGGGATATTATTATAGTACAAGTTGAAAGTCTTTTTCGTGTCAAATTCACATCTCGTCCATTTGTGGCCATTCTCGATAAAGTCAATGCTATTATGTGACAAATGTCTAGCGGTATAAATGCACGAGAGTCTGAAAATGCAATGTGTGATATCTTAATATCTGCAAGACATGTTTTGGCCATGGATGCCTTTGCAAATAAGTCAACATTAGCATTATTTAAAGCATATTGTGGTGAAAACATTCATATAATTGATAATAGATACCAGCCTTGTGTGGATGAGATGGTTGAAATTCTTTATGATCTGAATAGTGGAGCCGAAGCTATAAGAATAGGATATGATCTTTTGAGGCAAGGAATACGTGTGACATTTATATCTACTGGAGCAGTGATGGCTAAAGCGTTAGTAGAAAAAGCATCTAAGTTATCTAAACCTGATAATTCACCTGTTAGAGCCTATGCATATTATGGGAATATGGATGGAAAGTAAAGACAAAAAGACTTTTCTAATATTAATGATGCCTAGAGCAAACTCGACTGCGTGGCTTATACAAATACAGTGAAAGCAGGTATATCTTTTGAAATTACAGGCCACTTCAATATAGTCATAGCCATTACAAATATTGCCACTCCAGTTCATGTTGAAGCTCTTGTACAAATGCTTTACCGAATTTGTGATTCCCCCTATTGTATTGTTTTTTTATTCTATCAGAAGAATTCTAACGAACTTTTTCGCCTGCCAGGTCATGAAAATATTCGAGCAAAGCTTGAAAGTGCTCGACCTAATAATTTGCCTACAGCAATAAAGGAACATTATGAATGGAATAATAATATCATTTCTTATAAAGTTGATTCATCTTCAGCCATAATAACTTTTATTGAAGTTGAGCATCAGAAACATCTTTCTGCAAGATATTTTATTGAAAAGCTTTGTAGTCTCATAGCTAGTACAGGCTTTTCTCTCCAACTTTTAAAAATAGATGAGAGTCGAGGAGTTATAGGAAATCGTAAAAAGATTCGCAATGAGGTTAGAGTTAAAGCATTAGTTATCAAGAATACAGATTTTAACGCAGTTGCTACTTCTCGGAATCTTAGTCCTGAAGAAGCTGAAATCCTTAAATTCGACCAAGAGCGTTCTATCACAGATATTATGAATCTTTATTGTAAAGACATGAGTATTGAGGATTGGAATAATATTTGCAATAGAAAATTCATTGAAAATTTTAGTTCGCCTGAAGCTTGGAAGCATTTCTTACGATTGTCTTATTTTTAAAAGCAAGGTTATGATGAGGAGAGTGCAATGAAGGAATTGAAAGCTGAAGAAAATATACAATAAAAAATTGCCTGCTATAGAGCTGAAAAGAATCTGAAAAAATCAGTAGCAGAAGACTTGCGTAAATCTTATTCAGCAAAGCATTGGAAAGTTATACAAGAACTTTTTCAAATACTAGGCTTTACAGGGATAGATAATGAACGTATCCTTTCTGGTAATATGGTATCAGAAGTATTCACACAATTATATAAAAGGTTTATAGAGGTTTTGGATCAACCCCTATTACTCTTTGGCTTCAAGTCTCATGCTAAGATAATGTCAGATCTTAATTCAGCTATAAGGGCAATTAACGCAATTGCTGGAAATTGGTGTGGCTATACTGTAAAGATAAATAGGAAAAAAATAGGACCTAAAGAAAAATTTGTTTGGAAACGTTCATATCAAATTAATCACTGGTCATATGATAGCCTTGGTTTTGGAGATAAAGGTGCACTAGAACTTCCACCATATAAGTCAAATGCAGATAATGAGATCCAGGAACTTTTAATTCTATAGAGTAAGGAAAAATAGTTCTCCAGTCCAGATTGTTATTCAGCCAAGTATCTTGACTATATCAGTTAATCCTAAAGGGGTTGATTCTGGTTTAGTTTTTTTACTTTCACGTCAGATATGATCATAAATTCCACTATGTGTGCTACAGATTCCAGTGCGAGAATAGGTTAGCTTATTACAGACAGGGCATATTGTTTTAGGACGGGTTTTATAATGTATGGCACATCCTGAAGCACGCCAGCACCCTTTCCCATAAATCAAACCATCTTTCTTAATGTATTGGCAGGATAAACGATCCATATGAGGTAATTTTGATATTAATAATCTTAAAACTTCATCTTCACTTTTATT